ATTCCCATATTGATGATTTAAGGGTATCCTTTCAGCAGCAAACACAATTTATTTGTTAAACATTAGTTAATTTGAATATTTGCCAAGTATTGGGTTAAGAAACTAAAGAGATTGTAAGATAATCGTCACAAGAAGCTTACAGTCTAATGTGGCAGCAGACATGGTAACAAGGAAGTGCTCTGATTATCATGAGAAAACAAGGCCAACACTAAGAAAACATACTTGCAAAAGACATGTTTGATATAGTAGGATTGTTACCCGAGCTATACAAAGAACTCTTGAAATGCAACAGTAAGAAAACACATGCCTGATTTTAAAATGGGCAAAAGATCTGAACAGACATTCTACCAAAATAGATAGGCAGGAGGCCAGCAGGTGGCATGGTGGTAAAGGTGCTGGACTTCTATCTGGTCAACTGCAGTTTGAGTCCTGGACCAGATGACTTGAAAAATCATGCTGGTGTGTGCCCAAAAGCGGCAATGAGAATGGAGAAGGGACTGCAGCATGGCCATCCTCCTGAGGGATGAATTCTCACTCTTTCTCTCTGTCTCTCTCCAGTGAGGATTCACGCTCTGGCAAAAACCTAAAAAGAAAATATTTTTTACAAAACCAGCAAAGAATCATATGAGAAACAGGCAACATCACTAGAGAATCACAAATTAAAACAATGACATAGCACTACTCACCTATTAGAATGGCATAATTCCAAAATACTAACACCAAATGCTGGCTAGGATTTGAAGCAACAGAACTTTTAGCTTGTTGCTAGGGAGAAAGCCAAATAGTATGCCACTTTGCAAGACAGTTTGGCAGGTTTTTTTTGCAAAACTAACATGATTCTTATCATACAATCCAGTTATCCCACTCCTTAGTATTTAAACAGAGGAGCTGAAAGATTTACAACTACAGAAAAACTTACATGCAAGTATTTATAGCAGCTTTATTTATAATAGCCAAAACTTAGAAGCAACCAAGATGTGCTTCAGTCAGTAAATGGATAAAATGTGGTGCATCCAGACAGATGCTAAACAGAAATGAGTTACTGGCATGGTAGCTCGGCTTGTAGCACACCGCTGCAAGGTGCTGGAGGTGCACGAAAGGCCAGCATTCCAATCCTGGGTTGACTTGAGCATGCCAAGTGTGCCCGCACAGTCCTGTGATCCTGGCTGGCTGGAAAGCTAAGAGGAGGATCAGGGAATGACGAAATCCTGTCAAGGATACCTCTCTCTCTCTCTTTCTCAAAATAAATAAATAAACTCGAAACAAACAACAACAACCAAGTGCAATCAAGCAATGAATGGACATGGAGGAAGTTTAAATGCATACCAGTACATGAAAAAGGCCAGTCCGAAAAGTCCACATGAGTTGTAACTCAACTAGATGACATTCTGGAAAAGGCAAAACTATGGCTACTCTAAGTGTTATAGTTTCCAGGAGTTCAAGGAAAGGGAAGGATAAATAGGCTGGACACCAAGTTTTGTTGTTGTTTTTTTTCCTTTGTTTTCTTTTGCTTTTGCACCACAGGTGTGTAGCTCAGTAGATACCTCATTGTCACCAGACAGAAAGAGAATACAGAGAGAAGAGAAGGAAGAAATCACTCACAGTGGAGCATGGTCATGTCACAATCCCTTCTCCATTTCTCCATCCTGTTGGGATTTTGTGCATTCATGCACACGCACCCAAGATATTTTTCAAACCACTGGTGTGTGGGGGGGGGAGGCCTCAAACTTCATGATCAGCTATGTAGGATCAGCTCCCTTAACCACTAGGCCAAGGGACTGGCCCCACAGAAGGGTTTTAGGGCAGTGAAACTATTCTATAAGTCACCACAATGGTAGATACGTATTATTATTCCTGTGAAAACTCATGGAACTATAACACCAAGGATAAATTCTTATGTAAACTATGGACTTTGGTTAATAATGGCATGTTATTATTTGTTTTTCAATTGTAACATATGTTACAACTCAACAAAATACAGTGGTAGTTTAGGAGGCTGACGATGTGGGAGACTATGCATGTAGTGGTGGTAGTGAGTATAACTAAATGCATATAGGAGCTATCTGTGCTTTTCACTTAACTTCTCTCAACCTAACATTGCTCTTCAAAAAGTCTCTCTATTGAAGCCAGCAGGCAGCATGGTGGTTAAGGCACTGAACTCTCACATGGCAAACCATGGTTTGAGTCCCAGACCTGGCGGCTTGAAAATCGTACTGTGTGCACATGTTCGGTATCCCAGGAGGAGAATGGAGAAGGGATTGTGGTATGGCCATCCTCTCTGGAGGGTGATGTTTCACTTCTTCTCACTGTCTTTGTCTGGTGAGTGAACATGCCCTATGGCTTAAACCTAAAAAAAAAAAAAAAAGAAAAAAAAGTTTCCCTCTGGAAAAAAAAAAATATCAACAGAGAATTCATAGTAGACAGTTTTGGTTGGTACACAAAACTCTAATCAAATAAACCACATATATAAAAACCTAGGTTCTCCTTCAGGTTTTCTAAAGGTGATGATTATAAATCCATATTCTAGACTTCCGAAATCAAAATTTCTTCATGCCAACAGTTGGTAATCTTCAGTTTATCAAGGTACTGAGATTATTTTTATGTACCATGGGGTTTGAGAATCGCTTCCGTTTTATGTCAACGTACTTTTTGGTACATAGGCAAATACCAAATTAATTCCAAATATGTTTTAATAACTATACATTCTTTGGGAACTACCAACAAGCTTAAGATTCATAGCAAATCATTATCTACTTATTCTTTTCTCAAACCACCTATAAACGAAAAAATAAGCCATGTAAATTCTGAAATAGATTTATTTGGAGAAGTACACATCTTTGACATCTTTTCTTAAGAAGAAATAACACATAAATGATTTGTGATTGTGCCAAGCATGGTACAAATACATGAATAAATTTATAGAGATGAAATCACTGTCAACATTATCTTTATTGCAAGACATGCTAAGAATATTCTAAACAATAGAAATATTTTGCTTTTCTAGTTGGAGAGAATCATGTAGGAACTGTTCCACTTTGTGTGTTTATCTGATAAGAGCATAACTAAATGCATCCTACTCATACTTCCTGTTTCTATTTTTAAGAACACCACAAGCAGCACTTGTAATATGTCTTTTTTACATAAGTTGCCCACAAATGCAGCTTACATAAAAGAATCTACCTAGAATTGGCTGCTTAAAATCCCAGGTGATAACATATAACAATGGCTCAATACACCTACAGCCCCAAATCTAAGAAGCTCAAATTTAATGCCAATGTTGCATAAGAAAAACTCTACCACAATAACTCAGTTTTTTTTCTTTTTTCTCTGTGTGTATATTCTACTCATACTCCCATCTCCGTAATTTCATCTTTTATTTTCTTCAGTTACCAATTTACTTTGAGCTTCATAAGCAAATTGAAAAATAATGTCAATTTGACCAATTTCTCTCTCTTTTTCTGTTTTTTTTTTTTTTTCTTTTTCTTTTAATTACCAGAGAGAGGAAGAAAGCACTCCCCAATGGGGCATGGTCATGCTACAATCCTTTCTTCTCCATTTTGCTATCCAGTTGGGATTTGGGGCATGCAAGCACATAAGCTTTCAAGCCTACAGGTCTAAGACTCAAACTGTGCAGTTGGCCATGTGGGATTGACTCCCTGAACCACTAGAGACTGGCCCTGATCAATATCTCTTGTACCATTTCTGTAAGTCACCTTCCTTTTCTGCACACTCACACACACACACACACACACACACGTTCATATGTGTAGCAGCTCACATATTTCTTCAAGTAGATCCTAATCTTTGTTATCCACTTTGTATGAGGACTACTACATTCTTTAGTAGCAGCACCTGAAAATTGCCATAGCCTCAAGCCATTGAATAAAATTGTAGGCTTTGTTAGAAATAACTAGACTCAACTACTCTGGAAATTTAGAAAATCTGAAACTCCATGTGGCTGCAACCTTGGGATTTTCAAAGTAGTGATTAACTGTAATACTTCACTACATGTGATTTGTCCTGATTCTTTAGTAAGAAAAACAGTAAGATACAGATGTGGTGAATATATGTTGACCCCCCCATCAACTAACTAACTATTCTGGACTTTTCTCCACTCTATTCATTGTGCTTTTAATTTTAATCAAGTCAAGCATGAAGTAATTTAAGCCATCAATCGTCACTTGCCCGATACCTGTTCTCACTAATCGTTAAGTTCATTCAGATGCCTACAGTATATTAATTCAGCAGCATTATTTCATACGTCACGTTAGCCTGTGTGGCCCAAATACTAAATCACCACTTCGCTCATAAGAGAAATACACATTGATTGCTCCATTTATACCTATATTTGCTTAACAATATAACACGATATATACAAGCATTCATTTGCCCGATATAAGAAACAACTACCCCACATCCAATTGGAGTATTCTATATCTTTATTGCACTATTCATTCTTTGCATTCTTGTAGTATATCAAGTCTAAAATTATTTTCACTTTACGTTTAAAAAATATCAGTCTTAGAGAATTTCATTATAAAAAATTGACTAGAAGTGTATGATTATTACTGTATTTGTGATTGGTTAGTCACACTGAGACATTCTCTCTTTAAAAAACTGTAGTGAACTGATTCAGGAAACACAAACATCTCTCTGCTGAAAGATTCTATGATAGCTGCAAAGGAAACACTGAGTTTGTAGTGGGTCAAATGAAGCTAAATTAAAATGTTCTACTATTCTCTACTTATGATACAATCCATCTTGGAAAGATTTTGCTGTTCAAGACTGCAATATAAAATGGCATATAATGTTGATATATAAGTTTCAGGGGAAAATTTTAATCATTTGCCATATTGACCCTTAAAACCAAGCACCCGCATCAACTTTCTTTTTGAGAGAGAGAGAGAGAGAGAGAGAGATATTTTTGCTATAGGGCGTATGTATTAGCCAGAGAGACAGAAAGCAAGAAATCATTCCCCAGGGGAGATGGCCACACCACAATCCTTTCTCCTTCATTCTCCTCTAGGAATTTTGGGCACACACGCACACATGACCAGAGTGAGTTTTAAGCCACCGAGTCTGTGGGAGTCCAGCAATATAATCATTTTTACCATCTCCTGGTCCCGACATGAACTTTCTTAAAGTGAAAATTCCCAAGTTGAGAGAGATTATTTGATATCCTGTTGGGTCCAGACAATGGTCCTGGCATGTTGATCATTCAGTCCATCACTGGTTGGAGTCAGAACCAGGCTTAACTTCTCACACATATGGATGCATATTCTGTAGGTGCTTCTTTCACATTTCTTGCTGGTCTTGAGTTCATTCCAATGATGGAATGGTTCAGTGAAGCATAAACAATCCCCTGTTTGTTTTCCTCCAGGCGTGGGTTAGAATAAACTTCAGATCCTTCCTGCTTCCCAAGCCGTGGGTCATCGTACACCCCAGTTTCTGGAGGCACTGTGTGGGAATTTTGCCTGATGCCCACTGTAGTCTGCTCGCTGTTAAACAGCTGGGGAACATCAACCTGTGAGAGAAAACAAATGGTTGCAAGCACTCCTTAAGGTTGTGATGCTGCATATGTGCTAGAAAACTCTGAGTGAAAGGCCAAATGGACTCAAGGACATTAAGAAATCTCCTCTTGGGATCTTGGGCATGCATGCACAGGCGCCTGGTGTGAATTTTAAGCTGCCAGGTTCGGGACCTGAATCATGGTCAGCTACGTGGGAGTCCAGTAACATAACCATTATGCAATCTGCTGGCCCCCAAATTCATTCTTTTACGTACACAGTTCAGTGGGTTTTTTAGTATACAAGCACTTTTATACTTTCAAAAAACTATTTTTAAATGAGATCAGAACTATGTTTTTTCTATGTACCTGTTATGTTTTTCCCAGTCCTTTCTCTACTTTGGATACCTCCCTGTTTACCATACAAGTTCTTTTTAAGAAATATTTAGGGGCTAGCAGGTAACATAGTGATTAAGGTGTGTGACTACCACATAGCTGACTGTGGTTCAAATCCCTAACCTGGAGGCTTGACAGTCACACCAGGCCTGTGTATGTGCATGCCCAAGATCCCAAGAGGAGAATGGAGAAGGGATTACAGCATGGCCATCCGCTCGGGGGTGATTTCTCATTTTCTGTCTCTCTAGCATGCACATGCCCTATAATAAAAACCTCTCACACAAAAAAATAAATAAATAAAAAGAGGATTACTAATTCTTTACTATTAGTCTTCCTTATTGAAGTATACACACACGCCCCCTCATTTGTTTATTTTCAATTGAAGAGATTCTCAAATTTGTTTTACAAATGTACCACCTTCTCTTGCAATATATTGCCATAGTTCCAACCTCGATACAACACTGAACCCAAAAGAAAGGCCTAAATTTATATCTCAAATCTTGTAGGAAAAATTTCCTCCCCAATGCCCTTCCCTTTGTCTGGGTGTCTCTTCCTTACGTGAACCTACACACATCATCAGGGACTTTGGCACAATAACAAGCCTGGGACCATTGTCTGCCGGTGTGATTTATGAAGAGATCTGGTCATTTCTGTGGTGTGGAATTCATTCTTTCACTTATTCCCTACTGCCTTTCGGGAAGGCTTTAAGGTATTTTTATAAAAGTAAATGAACCACCCAAAGTCACATAACAAGCAAGAACAGAGCCAAGACCGTATGGTTTCATTTCTGACTCTTCTGTTTTGAGTCTAAACTGCCTCCTATGCCCTTCCAAAGGGCCACTTACTATGAGTCTTGTTAATCCTGAAGAGACTTTGCTACAAATGGTCAATGTAAAATAGGTGCATGCTTTAAAACATAAATCAATAATATATATAAATACACCACACATATTACTCAGAACAGTACCTGGCACATGGTAAGTGTAATGTAAACTCATTGGATAAACAAATATATAGGAAAGAACACAGCATAATACAATTTACATTTGCTTTAAAAGGTACCTCAAACATACCAGATTGATTTCCCTGCCCCCTGTATCAGAAGGCTTCTTTTTTTTCTCTAGAAAACAAAAGGAAAAATAAGTGATCACAAGGAGGGAAGAAGGCAGAGAGAAACCACTTTCCCTCCCCACACCCACCCTACGGCCTGACTGTGACAACCTTGCTCCTACTTTTGGTTTGTGGGTTTGGTTTGTCTAGCCAGTCACACATAGTCCAGTTTGTGTGAATTTGCGCTGGCCGCCTCCCTCACTAGTCCATCCCGTCTCACTCCACGTAGCTTTATGTCATGTCACAGTGAGAAGGACAGGACCTAGGACATCGCTCTGAAAAGGCCGGCCGTCCTTGGTCCTGAGCTCATTCCATTCTCAGTGCCAGGAGTCCTGCTGTCCTGCCACCTAGAGAGCCAGGATATGTCACCACCTCGTTCACTTTGAATATAGTAAATCCCAGGATTCATCCTGGCCTTTCCCCCTGAAGTTCCTACACGTTCTAGCAGCATCAAGGAAGATGATGAACTATATAGAGAGACATGGAAAGAGCTTTGGAGTTCGGATGCAGAGTTGGTGTTACAGAAGTCGCCAGTATTCGAAGAAGGTTCTGGGCTCCAGAAGCTCTCATTTCAAGTCAGCAGAAGCACTTTTGCCCAGACAAAGCTTTCTTTTATACCAGACAAAATAGGAGTTGCTCTGTTCTTTTCAGTCTACAGCTACATTGAGGGTGATGTAGAAAGGGGGAAGGAAGGAAACAAAAGAGGGAAAAAGAAAGAGAGAGGAAACAAAGGTGGTTCAGATCACAGCTGCATCAGAATTTTCTTAATTTTGTGAAGTGTTTACTCATGACTTTGAGGGAACTCTTACATATGTAGAAAGGAATTGTTTTCAAAAGATCACACCTTATCCCATCAGAGCCAAACCCACAGTTTTCAAATGCATTATTGTTGGGTGAGGATTTAGCTTAGGTATGTGTTTGTTATAGCAACAGAAAACAGACATATGAATCCCCTCTAGGGACACTGGTTCTTCTTTTAGACAAGGGTGTGTATGACTGGTATGAAGTGGTGTGGTTGTGAAAAAGAGGAAGAGAGAAATAAAACAGATCAGATATGTCGATCTGAGAGAGGACTTCGGCCTTCCTTTATTATTTTTTTCATGAGATTTTTCTTTTAAGGGTTATTTTATTTGGGGCCAGCAAGTGGCATACTGGTTGAGGCACTGGACTCCCACATGTCTGCCCACGGTTCAAGACCCAGACCTGATAGGTTGAAAATCATGACAGGTGCATGTGTGTGCATGCCCAAAATCCCAGGAGGAGAATGGAGGAGAATAGACTGTGGCATGACCATCCCCTCTTGGGGGTGCTGTCTCACTTTGCTTCTCACTGTTTCTTTCTGTCTCCCTCTCCTCCAGTGAGCACACATACCCAATAGCAAAAACCTTAAAAAATTATTTATTTCATTTTTATCATTTTTAAAATTTGCTACAGGGCATGTGCACTCACCAGAGAGAGAGAGGGAAAGAGAGCAAGAAAGTGAGGAAGCAAGCCAGGTCTGGGACTTGTACCATGGCCAGCCATGTGGGAGTTCAACACCTCAAACACCGTGTCACCTGCTGGCCCCTCAACTTCCTTTTAAACCCTGTTAAGATTTGGAAGAGCTTCATCTCATAAAAACTTAGCATTACTGCAAATGGAATGAGCAAGTCCTGGCAATGTGTCCACCCAGCCACAACCCTAGTTGGCGTACTGTGCTGTGGTGAGCATTCCTCTCCATGACTGGAGAGAGCCCAAGTTAATATATTGAGCCTTTGGGGGAACAAAAGTTTTTGAGTTTTGCTCAAGAAATCATTATCCATGGTTTATCACAGAAGATTAGAAAAGAAAGCAACAAGAACCAACTAACAGCTATCAGCCAAACATGCGGGGCACAGGGGCAGAGGCAAATGGAACCTACCGTGGCGACTCCTCAGACAGCAGAACAGGCAGAAGCAGGTAATGATGAGGACAGGCAATCCTCCCAAGAGAGGCAGACTATAAAGAAGCCAAGTTCTGTCTGCCCTTTCTTTCGTGGAGGGTGGTTCTGAGGCATCGATTGTATCTGGAATGTCAGTCGATGCTGAAGACAGTTAGCACATGTCAGCTACATTAGGACTGGCAACACCCCTCTTCAATGCCAGAATTTGAAGGAGGAAGCTTCAGGGTGATGCCCTCATTTTCCCCAGGCAGGTAGGCATTCCCTGAAAATCCCAAACCTCAGTGCCCTCAGCCCTCTTGCTTTATTGCTGAGCAGATGCTGCTCAGCAATGATTTATCTTCTGCAAAAAGGGTTCATCCTCTGTAGCTCAATCTCTATACCAGCTCTCAATGACACTTTATCCTACCCTTCCATTTAGTAGTATCTAATTTAACCCCCACTTTTACCTACTTAAGAATAGCAGTGAAGTCATTGTCTTTATCCAGTCTCTAACCTTATCACTTGAGAATCTGGATCCTCCTTTTCCTGAAACCAGGATTGAAAACACATCACATGAGAACTTACCTAGCACATAAATGGTTACCCAGTGACTTTCAATTTTTTCAGGCTGAACATTCGCAGAACAGCGGTATGACCCATTGTCACTAGGAACCACGGCTTCAAAATGAAGAATAAGAGCTGAACTGTTCTTCTCTTCTTTCCAACTCACGGGTCTCTGAAGAGTTAAACAGTGTGTCCCATTGAGCTTGCACCAAGTCACATTAGGTCTGTCAGTGCAGTAGTTCACAGGACATTCCAGACTAAAGGGATTTCCCAACGAGGCATTCAAGGACTGTCTCTTAAGGTAAAGTTGTACTTTACATGATTCTTCTCCTAAAAGATGGAAACTACATTAAAATTAAATTTTTTTGGAAGGTATATACCCCACTACTACAGTTTCTGCCAAAGAGTTCTCAAATATAATTTTATAGTTTTCCTAGATCACATTTTCTAGTAATTTTCACGAGCAGAATGGTTGGTACATCATAGGCAAAGAATATATATTTTTTAAAATCAAATAAATTGTTTAAGTTTCACAATACACATATTAAATCGTATGTTATTGTAAATGCTATTTTACAAATGAGGAAACTGGTGTATTAAAGAACTAACCAGACCAGCCAGGTGGCATGCCAGATCCCATATGGCTGACTTTGTGGTTTGAGTCCTGGACCTGGCAGCTTGAAAACCATACAGCGTACGTATGTGTGCATGCCTGAAATCAAGAGAGGGGAATGGAGAATCGATTGCAGTGTGGTCGTCCCCCCTGGGAGGGTGCTTTCTCACTTTCTCTCTCTCTCTCTCTCTGGCAAGTGCACATGCCCTATAACAAATTAACCAAAAAAAAAAAAAAAAAAAAAAAAAAAAAAAAAAAAAAAAAGAAAAAAAAAAATTTGCCTAAG